AAAAAAGAGACTTAAAAGTGACAAATATGAGATACCATGTCAAAAGTTTGTCAAAAAAAATTCTCAAATAAAAATGAAATGCGATAGTACATTAAAATTATGAGCTAGCGCATCAAAACTATCAGTTGCTGAGTCACAATTGTGAAACGGTGAGTCGAAAAATAGACATACAAGTAAAACACATGACATGCTAAATAAAAGTCAAAATATGAGACACTAAGTCAAACGTAAAACTGAATAAATCCAATATATGAGTAAGTTGCAATTGTTAGGGATTATTAAGTGAAAGATAAACCTTAATGTCAACAATATGAGATGGTAATTAAAATGTTGAAATAGACGAAATTACAACACAGGAATCCAAAACATTGTCCCCACGCTTTGTATGTAGAAATTACAAGCTGGTAAATCTATATTCTGCAATAACAATAACAAGAAAACTGTTGCAAATATGGTAGTCAAACTAAGCCTAAATAAAAACTATGACTCTATAAGAATTACAATATAGCATACTCATTTAAAAGACAGACTTAAGAATGTATGTGTAAGTATGTGACGTGCGAAGTACAACTACAGTTACAAAAAAAACATAACATAGTTGAACTCTGACATACAAAGTCAAAAATATAATATGCTTTTTAAGTAAATTATTAGATGTTACATCAAAATTATGCAATCCCATATAGACTTAAATTGTAAAGTTTATAAAAAATGTGACAGCGAGTAAAAATGTTGAAATAATAATAGGTCAAAAAGTTAAATGTAAAGTACGAAAAACTTAGGAAAAGTCAAAACTATCAGATCCTAATCCAACATATGACTTCGTATGCAGCAGAAAGTACAGGATTAAATAATTATTAATAATAAAACTAAACCAAAACTTCAAGATAATTGGTCAGAATATCAAAACATGATGAGTCAAACGGCAGACTTTCTACGTCAAACTTTGCTAAACTACTTAAAAACTATGAATCGGTAGTGTAAAATGGGGAATAAAAAGTCAAAAGACCAATTTCCCAAATGAAAATGAGATAAAATATTAAAAATACAACTTACTACGTAAACAAAATAGACAAAGTAAAGATGACTACCAAACGTAAAACTCACTAATTCAAAAATATGTCCTAATAAGCTACAACTACTGAAGCTTACTAAGTCCAAAAGAGAAAATGTCAAATTACTAAATCAAAATGACAACATATCAAGTGAAAACTTGTTGAATTGTATGAATTATAATCTACAATCTCTGACCTACCATGGGTTAAATTTACATTGTTAGCATGCTCAACTTGTTTTTCTTTTGCTGTAAATGGGCTTCTGTAATTCCCATGTCTCGGAAAAAGACAAAACAACCCATTCCAATGTGTTGGGCAACATTGGATACGCAGTCTGCGCTTTGTTATCGTCACCACAAACTGGTGTAGTCAGACACTGAAGCCTGTGGTCGTCTCCGGAGCAGGGAAGTGTAATTACAGCAGCTCAACAGGATTATCTGTCCGTGTTCGTTATTTCTGTTTGTTGAAACACACAAATACACTATCTATCTATCTATCTATCTATCTATCTATCTATCTATCTATCTATCTATCTATCTATCTATCTATCAGTGGCTCCACCTGCTGATCAGAAACAGTCATTACATCTCATCTGAAAACAATGTCACTGTTGTGATGTTTTTGTTGCTTGTTGATTGGTTGGTCAATTTATCTTCTTCTCTGGAAGTCTGTGAGTCTCGCGGTATTGGGGATGCTTTTCCATGTCACTGGTTGGACTTTTTTTTGTATTATTATTGGAAAGACTGAGATTTGCAGATATGTTTTCCTCAGACGTCACAGAAAGGGCGTAGTTACGTCTGTTGTTGCCAAATTACTTCATCAAAAAGAAATAATCCGGTGATAATCTCTCAAGACAAAGAGGTTTATGTATGGAATTATGCCTTTTACTCCAGGCCTGTGGCATTAATATTCCTGTGGGCAGGTTTAAAAGGAAAGAAAGCAAACTAGGAGTATGACAGTTGTTGTTTTGAACAATGATAAATGCTTTGCTGTTTCTCTCTTCCTCCTGGTCTGTCAGCATCTGGGCTCTTAAAAATAATCCATATCCTTTCCAGAGCGCGCAGGAGCGTCAGAAGTGCAGCGCTGCGCCAATGGCATGGGGGCGTGTGCGTAAATGGCGCACGCAGAAAGCGCAGCGCAGACAGTCACTCCCGCCGGACAGACAGTTCGGAAGGAGAAATAAAACGGTTGTCGTACCAAGTAAAACTTGGCTACTCGACAGGTTCTTGTTTGTCTTTGACAGGAGATCCCCTACGCATCTGTCCAAGCACCAAGCGGCGCGGAATATACTTTAATATATCCGGGAAGGTTTTCAAAGTAAAGGCCTGGTTGATCATAAAACACCGGTAGAATGTTTGACAGCGACGCATACAGCATTCAGAGGTGTCAGTTAGAAGGCATTAAGGCCTGCTGCAGCTCCTTCAGATTAAAGAAAAACTGTCAGCTGTCTTACACAAGCCTGGATTACGGCTGGCAATAGTTATGAGTGGCTCCCTGTAATCCCTTTGATCATGAAATTTGCTTTACAATGCAAACATGCTGCTGTATTAAATGAATTAGTGAAGTATTAAAGTTAGATCACTGGGATCGCTTGTTAGCTAAGAGTCAATGATTAACCACAGCATCCTTGATTCATGTCCAGCTATGGATCTTTTCCCATTTCACCCCATTTCGTCTCTCTATGTGAGCAATCAAGTGACATCAACTTACATTTCTCAAAAAAAATAAACTAGATTTAAATACAAGGTTGAAAACAAAACAGGGAGTGCTTCACTGGGCCAGGGTGAAAAAATAGGAACTGTCCCACTTCCTTTGCTTCCTTAGGATTTGTCAGCAATCCAAAGAGTATCCAAGACACTCTGATTTCAGGGTTAAAACTCCTTTATGGGTAAACGTATGTGTTTCGACTCAGAGAGTTTTCATCAGGGTGTAGAATCAGAGTGTCTTGGATTCTCTTCCCCTCCTTCCCAGCCAATATGTAGGACTTCTATTAATTAGAAGGTAGAATATTTTCAGGCTAGCAATCAACCAAATCAATTTGCTAACGAATTAAATAATCACAGAATAATTGATACGCAGACATCCAGGGGCCTCCAGTACTAACTATAGTTTTACTAAGCTTGTTCTTAACTTGGTAAAATTGCAATTTTATGTGCCTGAAAAAAGAAAATGCCTTTCTAAATTATCGACATACGAGCCTCTCAGGTCCTAAGCTGTGGTGCTTTATTTAGTAATTGAATAGGGTTAGGGTTAACTACTTTATGCTGCACAACAAAATCTCAGGTACAAGGCTTCTTGATGAATAAAGGCTAGCATTAAAATCATATGCTGAGAAATGTTCAGAAACATTAAAAATAGGGCTGAAGGATTTGGAAATAATGTCTGCAATTTTTACACCCGACATTGTGCATTATCTGTTTTATGTAACTTCTGGCTTTCTTTCGATTTACCTCGTGTGATAGATTTAAAACATGGGATGGCGCATTATGATATGATACCACTAAAATCTGAATTTATCTATATTCAAATGCAAAGATGAGGACAGTTATTACAAAAAGTGTGATGATAATAAATCTGATTTTACAAAATAATAAAAAACCACTCTGACCTTTCTGTAAACAGTCTCTGACATTGGAGCAGGAAAGGTCATTCGTGGCTCCGGGAACAACATCTAATCTAATCTGATAATCATAAAAAGTAAACTTTGGGATAGACGTGCTACATTATATGTATTATAAATTGTAGCCTTTGTGATTTGCCAGTTGCATTGTTTCTGACAGCGATTCAAAATGTGTTCATTGTCAAGCCCTTATCAAAATCAAACATCTCTCTTATTTTGTATTTAAATTTTATCCACTTCTTGGCACGTCGAAAGCTTCAGATCACCTGGACCTTTTGGTGAGACTGTCATATCCAGCTGTTATTTCTAAAACATGAATCTGAAAGAAAACCGTGACACGTTTTATTTTGTTTTTCATGTCTTTGTGGCAAAGTGATTTGAAAATAGCTGATTCACTGGGCACACACAGAATAACTGGAAAATACCTTGACCTACAAAACACTTTTGATGAGGTAACCAGTGGTTATATTGGAACACTTTTTTTTTTTTTTTTAAAGAAACAGGCCTCCAAAAAGTAAAAATGTGACTGACGTGTAAAGCGTCACCTGTCATGCGCGTTTTACTTTGAAGGAAATCCGCAGTGTTTCCGGTGCGTCCGCGGCTCACGCCCTCTAGCTTGACGCGCCTCTCCTCCGTGTAAAGCCTTTGCATTGGGGTGAAGCCGCATAAAAGGCTTTCCATAATGCGGGCGTGAAGCGCTAGTAAACGGAGGGAGGAGGACCAAGCGGAGGGGGGGTTACCGGCGGGGGGCGCACACACCGAGTCTGCCTGTCAGGCGACTCGGTTTGGAATAAAATGTCGAACCGAAAGCACCGGGACAACCAAGAGATCTGCGCCCGCAAGGTCCGGGAGCTGGCCCAGTCTGGAGTAAACAAACACTGCTTCGAGTGCAACCAACCCGGGGTGACTTACACCGACATCACGGTGGGCAGCTTCGTGTGCACGTCGTGCTCCGGAATGCTGTGAGTAAAAAAAATAAAAAAAAATAACCTGCCGCCCCTCCTGGGTCTATTTACTGCACATTCAGCATCAGTGTGACACATAGAGTAAAAGTACCAGGCCTGAGATTGCACCACCCAGACACAAACATGCAGTGTGTTATTTTATCCCCCTTTCTACGTTAACAGGGAGGTGGTGCAGGATGTGTGCACACATTAATTTACGCAGTCTCTCTCCCTCTCTCTCTCTCTCTCTCTGTTTCTCTCATGCGTGTCTTCCAACAGCTTCATAAGACCGCTAGTTGGTCATTTTCCAGCTCTGAGTTACGTTTCATTTCGTCATGGTGCAGGTTTGACACTACCTCTCTCCCCTCTCTCTCTCTCTCTCTTCTCCAGGCTTCTCTCTCCGGTGTGGTGGGCGTGTGTATGTATGCGTGTGTCACATTTTGTTCTGCATGTTCAGACCCAACTCTCCTCAGGAAGACGGTTTCAGCACTTTATTGCGCAATCTTGCACAGTGTCCCACTTTTGTGTGTGTCCCCCCCTCTCCCCAAGCATGGAGGAGGCTGAAAAAACATGTTTCTGTCACAAGGGTGTGTGTTGCACCTTTCTTCCACGACAAATCTTGCCCTTTAAATTCACACATCATCACATGTCAGATGATTCCCACTTTGCTCTGTCCCTTTGTGGTGTCCAAGAGGTGAGGACTGACTACAGATCTCTTTTTTTGGTTTTTTTCTTAACTTCAATATCCTCCCTCCATGTCTCCTCTGTGTCCCAGGAGAGGCCTCAACCCTCCCCACAGAGTCAAGTCTATCTCCATGACAACTTTCTCCCAACAGGAAGTGGAATTCCTGCAAAACCATGGCAACGAGGTGAGTGATGTGGCACCCGAGGGGGGCTTCAGGTGGGCTCCGGTTGATGCACGGTTGAAGCATGAATTTCTATGGGTTTGCGTTATCGACATCTGGAAGACATCTGAGGTCACTGTTTGTATGTTTTGTGCAAGTTCAGGTTTAAGGCCCCTTGAGGATACCAGTCGAACCAGTCTTTGTGGTTGGGCTTTTTTTTTTTTTTTCGGGGAGGGTGGTGGTGGGAAGAATGCTGCCGCTGGGCTCACAGTGTGCCAAGAAACAAAAGGAGGAGCAGTTTCTGTCCCACAAAAACCATGATCTATTTCCTGTCTGTGTGTGCAGGACACTGATTCCCAAACTTTTTAAAACCACGGCGCTCCTTCACTGAGGAATGACCCAGTCGGTACATATTTTAACCCAAAGTCAGTCATAAGCTAACGTAAAGGGGTCATTTTCAGTATATTAGCAATGAAAAAATCCTTTAACGTCTAAGGTGCTGTCATCTTGTTGCTTTATTTCTATAATAAACAAACTAAAAGCTAGAAATATTCAGCTTCCGGTCACTTGAAGATCAGCTTAACCCTTGATGATTGAAAAAATAGTTGTCAATTACTTCCCTTCACCAAAGAGTTTGTTAATTTTCAAATGTTGATATTTATTTAATCCAATCAGCTGAGCTGTAGTTGTGTTACTATGACAACCGGCAACCTTGACCTGTGATGTCAGCAAACTTACCCACAGTTACTAGTTTTCGTTTCTAATTTTGGTAATAATCTTTATTTCTTCAGCTACATTATGATGAAATACAATTAAAAAGGTACAGTAAAAAAAAACGGCACCCACTCTGGGAACCTCTGGTGTAGGCAGCGATCCTTCCCTGAGCTTACATCACACAGATGAAGTGTTTCTATCAGGATGAGTGCTTGCTATTTTTTTTTTCCTTTTTTATTAGCTTGTTCAGGATGTGTATGCGTGCGAGTCAAGTATAATGTGCAGAGAGGCAGAGGTGTGTATCGTCCAGCTTTTTCCTCCTAATCATCCTCTGTGGAGTGATCCGGCCGGTCATGATTCATTGGCAGTGATGTTTGCCGCACTCCGACTCTTACTCCGGAGATGAATCATCGATGAGAGAATCTGTGTCCTTTTTTTTTTTGAGAGATTCTCTGAGGTTAAAATGTCACAACTTGATTTTTTGTTACACTGATCAGTCAAGCCTCATCTTTGCTGTTTTTTAATTTGAGTTTTTTTTTTTCCATTTCTGCAATAATGTGTGTGTTCAGGTTGGGAGAAGGACCTGGTTGTGTGTGTTTGACCCAAAGGCGGACGGCTGCTCTGACATGAAGGACTCTCAGAAGTTCAAAGAGTTCCTTCAGGATAAATATGAGAAGAAAAAATGGTGAGAATTTGGCCTCAGATTTAACACAACATGCTGATGTAACCACACAGAAGCTAAGGTGGTGAATAGGGCTGCAACAGGCAAATATATTGAATTATTTTGAGTAGTTATTGATAATTTTGTGTGTGTGTGTGTGTGTGTGTGTGTTTTCCCCCGGAAACTAATTATTTAGTGCAGAAAATGTGTGGAAAAATGGTCAACAAAGCTCTGTAACCCAAAGCCCAAAATATCCTGTTTGTCACCCTATTTGAAGAAAAAAAGCAAATTATTAATTTTGGAGAGATTTGTTTTTATTTTTATGATTCTTAATCTTTTCAAGTAGTAGTATTATCCGGTCAAAATATGTATTTTTTTTCCAAATTTAATTTTTCAGCATCTGCTATGCTGGTCACTGCTAATTAGCAAATAGTGTTGAGATGCTAACACGCTATCCTGGGATAATTACATACCTGTCAAGTAACTGTTATTGTTAGCATGCTAGTGTTAGCATTTAACTTATCACACCACAGCTTCCCAGAGCTGCTGGCATGACTGTACAATCTTGTTTTTACATTTTTGCACAGGAAATAAATATATTTTAAAAGTTAATTAGCAGCAGAAATTGCTGAGATTCACTTTACTTTTCAGAGGGTAAATAGCGTAAGAGGGCAGAATTAGATCCAGACAACAGCTAATAAAATTAGACATTCATTCTTTGAAATGGAGATGCCTGGTCAGAAAAAATAGCTTTAGGAAAAAAGTTGCTTTTGTGTTGGAAATTAAAGGGTGGGGGAGGGAAGTCATTGTTAAATTCCAAGTTCTAGAAATCTCCTTGATGTTTGCTAATAAGATAACTGGGTAAAAGCCTTGGTTGTGCTTCTTATGAGGGCAAGTTGGCAACACAGACTCAGTTTTTGTTCTTTCTGTGGCAGGCATTTTTCCAAAAGTAAGAACCGGAGGGACGTAGAGGGTCCTTGGAGTCCAGGGGTCCAGGCCGTGCCCCCTTCTCATGGTCCCTTAGCAAACCAGGGCCCTTCCCATAATTTACCCCCCAATGCCAGATCCACAAGGCCACTGGTAAGAGGCTATAAGCGTCCTAATTGTGCATGAATAATGGAGATACAGTGAGGTGAGTGAAAGTAAGGGGGTGAGGATTCAGGAGAGAAAGTGGGTGGGTGTGGGAGGAAAAAGAGGAAGTGAAAGAGACAAGTTATTCAAAGGATGCCAAAAAAAGAGAACAGAAGGTGAAGAAACGACCTAGATTCACTTCTGGGGCGTAGACACTGAGACTGATGGGTCGGACAGTCGGAGGGCCAGGTACCTTCGACATCAAAGCCTCTGCTTATGCATTATTGAGAAAAAGATGAAAGAGACTCACTTGGTCCTCCTTTGTGTCTCTTTTCCTGCTTCCCATCTGTTACTTTTTATTTCTCGTCCCCCTAGTCTCAGTCCCAGCTGCCGTCGTGGGATCGAGCTCCCGCCATCTCGCCTGCCGACATGCGGACGGACGTGTTCACCGCTCGGCCATCGCGCTCCCAAAGCTTCAGAGACCCCCCTCTGAAAGGTCGGAGGTTGATGTTTATTGGTGAAGTAAGCATTTTCGACACGAGTCAGGTCACTTGTTTGATCAGTTATCTCTTTCCGATACAGATCCGACCCTGTGCGGGATTGAAAGACAGCGGCCAGGCTCCCTGTCATCAGCACTGGGAGGTCAGAGCCATGGCCCGTCATTCCCTGCCCTTCCACGGCCCTCAGGTTCATCCCCTTTGTGTTCTTTGTGCTTTAAAAAAAATCGAAGCTATGTATTTGTCACCTGTTTTTAAAGGTTAGTCCTTGGGCTTGTGCTGAGTGTCAAATCACAGTCCCAAGAGGGAAGTCCAAAGGCATTGAGTCGCATTGTTGGTTTTGCCGTCTTTTTGAGGTTTGTTGACTAAAAGAAAATTACAGATTAATGCTTGCCTGAACAGTTGAGTAGCTTTAACCTGTGACTGGAAAAAGTTTGCTAATTTACTACTACAGATGACAAGAGAAAGAAAACAACGGGCTTTTGGCTTGCTGAATGCTAGCATGTCAGTTAGAGCCATACCCAGGAACTTGAATGTCCACAACACTATCAAAAAATCATTTCAGACAGCGTGGTCGGACGGATTATCTACCACATGACCACGCGTCACTACCCGAGCACGGGAAGTTTGTCCGTTTGCGGTTGGCCACGGACGCTGCTTATGAAACTGTTGGTGTGCACAACCAGAGAATATTCGCTCAAACTGTGAAGGGTGTTGGGTTGTGATCTCGTCGACCGCTGGACATCTTTTACCTAACGACAGAACGGCATCGCGGTCGGCTCCAGTGGACGGCCGCTTGTGTTGCCCTTGAAAATGGTCCAATCCTACTATGGCTCGCACACTCTCCAGACATGTCACCCATCGATATGTCTGGCAATGTGATCCGATTATTCACCAACCCTTCCGGAAGAGTCGCACAACACTTAACCCAACTCCATTATTAACTCTATGCAGTGCAGATGTGAAACTGACTTGTGATTTCTGGTCTATAACCCCACTCTCATTCTGCTTGTTATCATTTCTAATATAGTGTATGCTTTTTGTTTCATGATGTCCATTCTCTTGTAGAGATGCCATGTGTTGGGTACATCCAATACCTATCCCCTATGTTGAAAAGAATGGGTATAACTGAATATAATATGACATGCTGTGTTTATAGTATTGTTCAGCATAGTTAGGTAAGGCCTACACTGTGGTAGCTCATGTCTTCTGCATACTGAGGACCAGTGCCGTTATATTTGTACGGCCAGTTCCTCTTCCCATGTGATCTAAGGAAAGACTTGTGGTTACATGGATTTCCTTTCCAGTGCTATTCTGTGGGTCTCTCGTTAGAACATTTGGCAATGCCCAGCGCCGCCATGTTGTTCATCGTTGAACATTTTCACTGATTCTCACTGATGACACTCATCACTGTTGGCTCTTCAGTGTCACTCTGCGAAGCACAAAGAGAAGAGAAGTACCGAGGTTGCAGTGATGTTTTTCAGCTTGTCAGTGTTTCCTTGTTAGAACGCCACATTGGTTTAAAAATGCCTCCGTGTCATCATCTTGCCACACTTGGTTACTTTTCATGAATAGCAAAAAATTCAACAGGCTGCGACAACGGTTTAGTATGACGTCAGTGACACTCTCTTTTCTCTTTCCTCCGCTCGTATCCCCGTTTCTTTTCTGTCTCTGTCTATCCTATCTGACTCTCCTCTTTTCTTCAACCTTCGTAGCCAGTAGCTCTTTCAAAAACCACTTCACTTTAGGTAAGACACGGCGCCAACTGACGCTTTTGAATGTGTGCTGCTGAATGGCTGAAATCAATAAGCTCTTCTATGCTGTATCATTTATAATAGATGGCCAGTCTACGGGGCGTGCTGGCGCTGCCCATGCCTCACATGCATGTGAATTTACCCGAGAGCGGCTCGAGAAAAGACACGGCGCTCTATATTCATTTCGCCGTCCGAGTCACGGCTGGCCAGTGTCACATACTGCAATTGGGGTCAATATTTTTCTTCATCAGTCAGGTTTCCCACTTCAAAGCCTAGATCTGAAGGCTGTGAGGGTCAAGGAGGCACACACACACACACATACGCTGTTCCCTCAGAGGGAAAAAGAACAAGTTTAAAGTTATTTTTAGGCCGTTCGCTGCTGCCGCTGCCCCCGTCAGCAGCGGGCCGGTGATATCTCGTACCACGTTGGCGTTGAAGCACTTAAAAACTATGTAGGGCGCAGCTGTAATCCCACGATGCACATCAACATCCCAAACAAATATTCAAGGAAGTTCAGGTATGTTCACAAAGATAGGCCCTATCTCTATCTCAACAGCTACATACTGATCATATCCCAAAAACAGCCTGATGTTTGCATGTTTTATATCAATCTGTATCAGGTCAAGTCTGGTCTGGTCTTCATTTCTGACTCCCCATGCTGAAGGCTTACTGGCTGATACCGGCATGCTTTGTGGTTAACGTTTGCTTGCTATGATGTTAAATGTAACTTCCTGTCTTTGTTGCATCTAACAATCGTGTGCCAAGAACTTTTTGGCTTGCTGCTGTGCCTTTTCTAAATACTTTAAACACAATGACATTTCATGCTACGTGTAGCACATACCACGCTAATCCCGCCTTTGATAAGCCTCGTACCATGAAAGTGTCAACGTAGCGTGAGATGATTTGCTTTTTTAGATAGTCTGTGAGGTCTTGCTCAGTTTTGTGATCTCCTTTCATTGTCCCTTTTTATATGAATGGCAATATAGTTTCAATGATTTCTGTTTAAATATATATAAATGAATAGACCAGAATTGATAAAAGCACTTTATACATTTGAATAATCAAAATAATATTTTACTAAACAGTCTCGTCTCAAGATCCATTTCGGAGCCGTCATAGAGCTTTCCATCATTTTGCATGATCTTCCTCAGCAGATAGAAGTTAGTCATTTGAATTACTGTATAGACGTTTTTCCTTATTTTCTTACCGCTTTAAGGACTTCTTGTTCACATTGGCTAGAAAACTGACCGAAGGCTCTGATTAAATGTACCTTGAAGTGAGACTGTTAAGTGAACTGCTGTTTCCAGAAATTAATGTTGAGCTTTTAAAGTTGAACAGCTTAATTTTATACTTGCATTACACAATAACTTTATTTCATTTGATGACGACACCATTTTATGTGTATTATGAATAAGATCAAGTTTAATTATGTTTCAGACCTCTACTCGTTTCAGGGATTTGCAATCATATTGTATATTTTCATTTGCAATTACCGCAAAAATCATGTGTGGCTCTGCCTGTTTGAAAGCTCCAAACTGTACTTGAATGCATCCCTGGAGCCTCTCTTCCATCTTCAGTCTCTGTACTGACTCTCAGACTTGTTTTCTTTCTCTCAGGACGTACAGTGTCAGCCTCGGGGGCCACAGGGCCTTTCAGGGCCTTCCCCAAGTCGCTCAGCGTGGACTTTGGAGGTCTGAACCATCCTCAGCAGCAGCCTCTGCCACAGTCTCTGTCCCAACCGCAGCAGCATCAACAGCAGCAGCAGCAGCAGCAGCAGCAGCAGCAGCCTGCAAATGTCGGTCAGACGACACCGCCGGTCAGCGGCTCCAGCTCCCAGGACAGGTACGCTGCAGTGTCACAGCTGGACAGCGTCTTCTCTGATACAACAACGGCCCCAGGTAAGAAATTCTCCTGAGTCGATGCTTTTAATGTCAAGTCTTTCTTGTACTTTTATGGCGATTTGTTGGGAGTACAGCTCCTTAAGCACTATACATTAGTCAAATTTGGGGGATTTTATGCCACCTCTACTGCATTACTGGGCTACTTTAGCTCAGTGGGGGAAAAAAATGGTACTTTTAAATAAACTACATTTATCTGACAGGTTTAGTTAGTTTTCAGAATAAGAGTTGAAAAAAATTAAAATAAACAAGGGCGAATTATCAGCTTATTTGGATAAAACACATTGTTGAAGAGTAAACCAGTGGGTTCCCAGGCTTAGAGCTGAGAAAATTCATTAATAACTTGTCAATGATTTAAAAGATCAACTACTCTTTTTTGTTGAACTATTTCCAAACTCTTCCTTGTGTACTGTAGATTTTTTTTCAACATTAACATTCAGCATATTTTTCCAATTTGTGCATAAATCCTCGCCTGAGCACTGGTTAATAGCATTTTAGCAAAAAAAATAAATAAATAAATTATGCATTGAGATGAAGCACATCAAGCATCAGATCTGTGTGACGAGGAACCTTGAAACAGAAATGTCATCTGAATTCACATGATTATTTAATATTCACATCATGTCTTTTAGTTTGCTTTTTCTTTTGCCAAGTTTATGGGAATCCAGTAAAAAATTTGCACTTTCCCCTTGGAAAGTTTCTTTTTTATTGCTTTTTAACATTAAAAATTGAAAAATTAGGTGCTTGAAAATGTGCACTTTTTAAAGAAAAAAAAATTGTCTGATTTCCGCTTTTTACACTTAAATATTTTCTGATTTCTTTCTTCCTCAATGACAACAAATTAAATATCTTTGGGTGGTGGACAAAGATGCAGTGTGGGGTCTGGGAAACAACATTTGGAACCATTTTCTGAACTTTTATAGACCAAACAACTAATCACTTAATAAAAAAAATCTTTACAGATTATTGGAAATTGGAAATAATCATCATAGTTGCAGCCCTAGACTGTTTTACTTTTATTCTTCCCTCAAATTTGGCATTTGCTCCATACGAGGAGACAACCAGTGGACTAAACTGCTCAGTTACATGCAAAGTAGTTGCGACTACCTTCACCTTGACTTACCACATCAGTAAAAAGCTACATGTGTATTCACTCTTATAACATCATGTATAATAATACATCAGTCACGTGACACACGGGCTCTGCTTTTGCGTTGTTGTCTTGGTGCTTTGACTTTAATAAAGACCCGAGCACTTCTTCCACCGCTGTGTAACAGATAGCTAGTGAAGCAGGGGGGAGAGTTTGAGCGTGTGTGCGATGCAGATTGTCACGGCCAGCTCAGCTAGGTTGCATAACATCCTTACTCCAAATGCCAAGGCTTTTAGCAGCTGAATTATGCTCATTGTGTTTGCTCCAGATCATGCACAGTCTGATTCAAAAGGACCTTGTTGATACATTTTAAAAATCTGCTATATTTGTCTTAATAACCGAGCGGGCCCGGTTTAATGCACAGGACTCATGTGAGAAGCCCTCGAGCTTTCTACAAGAAGCTTTGTTGTTTTCTGCCTTCGTCGCAGCCTCCCCTGCCTGGCAGAGTAAGGAGGTTATTGATTTTCTGCCCCGGCTCACTTTGATTCATATCAAACTGAACACAGAGACGATATTTTATTCTGGGTATTTGTAATTCTTTTGTTCTTTGATGACTTACATGCCTGAGATCAACAGTTTGAACTCTGAGGTTGTTTTTTTTTTACTCACATTTCATGATAATAGTCGCACTTGATCTCTTAATTTAAGGCTCATTACAGGCCTGAGGTCATGTTGTTGTGTGTGAAATGCTTGTTTGCAGCTCCACCTGGTGGCCCTCCGCAGTACAACGCCATCTTCGGCAGCAGGCTCTCATCCAGCTCCACTCCTGCCAGGTTGGGGGGAAAAAAAAAAAATCATCAAATCAGCTTTTGCTTGTCAGAATTTTAAATCTCCGTGGAGCCCTTTAAAGGTCATATTCTGATCGATCGTCTTTTTCTAACTTTTCCCCAGTTCCCCCGGTGTCGATACTGTCTCCAGCTCCCAAACCTTTGCAAGTAGGTACCGAGCACGAACTGCATTGATCCCTCTCGCTGGCTTTATTTACATTCGGTTCCTTCATCTTTAAAGCCACCCCTAATTACACTGCATCTGTGAGACTTGGTCGGTTTGAATAGGCAGGAATGTACCCCGTTAACCCCGCACACTGTGAATTATCTCCCTGTCTCTTCTCCCCCCTTCTCTCTCCCTGTGTGTCTCAGATTTCCCCAACCCATTCAGCTCAAGCTCCAGCTCGGCTTCCCAGCAGCCTGTTGCCCTCTCCCCCAGTAACCCCTTCAGCAACGCCTCGGGAGGTAAGCCTCATGTTCAGGGTCTCTCCAACACGTACTGTAACTCTATATACATCCTCCTGCAACGTTATTACAATGTTAAATGGCTGGAGTAGTTTCATGTCTAATTGTGTTACCATAATGATTTTTTAAAAAAAGATAACAGATAACTCTGAGTTTGTTATCATAGCTTGTGAAGAAGTTTGTAGAGTCTGCATATGGAATCACCATCAGTATAGTTGCAACAAAAAAATGCTTTATTTGACTCCGAAGGGGCATTCTGAGGTTTTATTAGTGCAAATACTTCACTCACACATTTAAAATAGTCTAAACATACTCAATATATTGTGTAAAGCAGGGGTGCCCAATCCTGGTCCTCGAGAGCCCCTATCCAGCATGTTTTAGATGTTTCCCTCTTCCAGCACACCTGATTCACATGATCAGGATCGTGATGATGAGCTGATCATGTGAATCAGGTGTGTTGGAAGAGGGGAAACATCTAAAACATGCTGGATAGGGGCTCTAGGGGACCAGGATTGGGCACCCCTGGTGTAAAGAATAAAGGTGGAGTAAGCTACTGCTTGCGACGTTTGCTGATGTTTGAATTCAACAGACATACCTTTCTTCAGTGCTCCTTCAGAAGACTTATGTCCCAAATTTGTGAATTCATGAAATTTGTGCCAACATTATGTACAAACCCATATCTTCCAGAGGCAAAAACACAAACCATAGAAAATTAAAATGCCATTATTGACTCTTTTCGGATTTCAAGTGGAAACGAACTATGGTCTAAGAGGGAGTGAAATAGCAGGAAAACCTAAACGTAAAGCAACATCGCATTGGCCAAAAGACCCTAACAACTCCAGAGGTCCGACGTGCAAATATTCCTTCTCTTTAGCACAAGTTGCCATGGCAGCGACACTAACAAGTGGGAAAGTGGACCATAAGAAAAAAAATCCCAGTTGAACTTGATGTTCCTCTCCTGCAGCTCGATAAACGCAGTATTAGACGTCACCAAATGGACAACATACAAGCACATGGACAACAGCACCTTCAACACAACGGGTTAAACATTTGTCAAATTTTGAAATGATTTGGAGGACCATAGGGGCGGCTGCAGACGTAATCGTTTTGCTGCACAGAGGAGCCCAGCGCACAATCCACTTGTCATACCAGCGAAAAATGGGATCCTCAGTCTCAAAGAAACAGAGCCAGGTTGCGCTGAAACCGGCTCAACATTTCCCCCCTCGTAAAACACTGAGGAGAGGAGCGGTTGCTGCTGTCTATCACGCCTGCTTTTCCGACTGTTTGCTACACAAACCCCCCCAAAAAAGACAAAGGGGAATTCACCATATCCTCTGGAAACGGGTAGGCACTCATAGGGCCATCTTGTCTGCCTGCAGCTGAGTGTGAACGCCGCTGATAGTGGCGTGTAGATCAGTCACTTTGTTTGCCATTCGCAGATCCAGACCTAGAACAAACTGCTCACAAACCACAAGGAAATATTGCTCGAATCTGACAGAAAGTGTACTGGTTAGAACTGCTTACTCTACCTTTACAAGAAAAGACATGTAATGGCATTAGCTCATCCAAATTTGGCCATCGAAATCAAGAAAATGAAGTTGTCCAAAAAAAACGGATTTGAAGTCTTCTTACTAGTTATTGACTATAATTTGGTAGAAAAACTACTTTCAATCTGTGCAAAAAAAACTGGAAGCACATGTAAAGCATTCAGTAATAGCGTGATAAATTGTGATAACATTGAACATTCTGCCTTTTCTTTATTTGCATTATATATGTGTGCGTGTTCCAGCAGCTCTATTTTAATTATTCATCAGTGTTATGACTCCATGTATTCAGATATCCTCGTCTCCTGTGGCCTCTCTATATATAAGATACAGAAACTAGCACAGAAAGAAAAACCCAGTTCTGTGTCACTTACTTTTCATTTGATAACTGTTCTCTCCACGGACTCATGATTTCACCTGTACGTGGGCGCTTTTCTTTTCTCCAGGTGACTCCAGCGCGTTCGTCACTTCGCCCACCTCAGTTTTTCCTCCGTCCGCCTCCTTCCCGTTGCCCGCCACTCAGAATGCATTTCCTCATGAGTCAGCCACTAATCAGGAAGCCAACGGTATGATTTTTTTTTTTTTTTCTTTTTTAAATGTCTTATTTGTCATCGTCCCACACGTTAAGTGCCAGGGTTGGTGCTTTTAGTCGGAATTGATCAAAACAGGGCAATCGTTTAAGCATTTTTGTGTTCCAGCAGCTCTGACCTAAACACTATTTAGCTCTGATTTTTAAAAATAATTCAGAATACAGCTGAAATGATTAGTTGCTCAATCAACAAATTGATCAACTTAATTTTTAAAAAATTGTATTATTATTATTAGTCATTTATTTTAAGGAAAAATGTCATATATTTGTTGGTTTTAGCGTCTTAAATACAAACACTTGCTACTTTTATGTGTTTTATTTGGTGTAAAGTGAACATTTTTGAGGTGTCAAATTGTCCAATTGGAATTTTAGAAACCACAATGAAAGATGACAAATTTATCAGTAATGAAACTAATCATGTGTTACAGTCAGAAATAAGAACATTTATCACGTTAGAAAGACTTACATGGGTTATATATTGTCAATCTCAGGTGGCCTTAAGTCAGCAACAATTGAGGGGGTTGGTGCCAAAGTGGTCCAAACCACATTTACTAGTTTCAGAGAAGAATAGGATCAAAATTTTGTGTTGCTAAAAAAAAAAAATCGTTTTTGTTGGAGGAGTCATTATACGCATCCAGAGATGTTTGAAACAGCTACTTTATGGTAACTTATTTAAGTTTTGCCAAAGTGGAAACTTTTTGGGAAACAAATCTGATTCGGTTTGTCTTCCTAAACAGCATAGAAGAGTTTACATCATAAGGAACTAGAGATACTTTTGAGGACCATGAGGTAGAAACAGATGCTTGGTGGTGGCTAATTAAGTTTTTATTTGACCTACAAGCCGAGTTTTCACCGGGGCTTGAGATCCGCCATCTTGAATCGCAAACACGTGCATCTACCTGTGCCTGTGACATAATGGTCAGCAATTCCTGTTGCGTGTTTGCCACTAAATTTTCATGCCAAAACCTTTATGGGCCAAACTCCAAAGTCGCATTGTGACATTACTAGTGGGATGTTGGTTGGACCACTTTGCCATGGACCAACTCAACTTTGGATTTTTTTGTGGTTTGGCGGCTTTGGCACTGATTATTTCCACTACACAACGGTATTTATCAGAAAAAGACCAACATTTTTACATACACAAGTAAAGTCTGCTTAAATTTCAATATTTCCTGGTTTCTTTACTCCTCTATGACAGTGAGCTAAATATCGTTAGGATGTAAACAACACAAAACATTGGAACACTCGACATTTTTTACCATTTTTATGGCCCAAACAGATAATGCATTAATTGCTAAAATAACAGACAGATTAGTCAACAATGAAACTTAATAGTCAACAAATCATATTTTCCTATATATGAATGTATCACACAGTAGATTGCTGTAAAAACAAACAGGCGCAATGGTTTGAATAGCGTGGACCAGAATAGGAATCATCTGCAACATGTATGATGTGTGCGCTGGTTACAGATGAAACACTGCAAATGTTTCATTATTTCAGTTGACCAGCAGCAACAGCCCAGGAATACCAAGTGAGGCACCCAGTATAGCTGCTGCTGCTGCTGCAGTTTCTGGTTTCAGTGCTGTCTTCACATCACTGAGTATGTTTTTCCTCCCTGTCATGTCATGTGTCGCAGGTTTCGCCTCCTTCCCAGCGTCCGACTCTCAGTCCAAAGTCCCCCGACCCATGTCAGTGAACCCGTTTACGGTGAGTACCCGTTGGCTGCCTGGCAAGCGCTGAGTGCACTTTAGGAGTTGGGGGCGGGGGGGGAGCTAATTGGTAGTTTTCGCAAGTTTCTTTAGGAGGCGTAGTAAGTCCTCGCTGCTGTTTCTCACCCTGCCTCTCTTGTCTTGCAGGGGAATGTTTACCCCAGTCGGGGGACGTCGAAAAACCCTTTCATCTGACGTCCCCCTCCTCCTTACTTCCCCCAACCATCCTTCTCTGGGAACCGAGGGAGAAGTGAACTTGAGGAGTTGCTGCCATTTCAATGCCTCTGGAGTATTTTCACCCTGTTCAGGGAGGGTTGGATGTCCACGCACCGTCCTTCCCCTGCCCTCCCCTCTGCTCTCTCCCCTATCTGTCTGTGTTTACGTGTTTGTGAAGGAAAAACAACAAAAAAAAAATGCGCGAATGTAATTATGGAATCCATGTTCGGTATGTATGAGAGTGTTCGGCCTGCTGTGTTCGTACCACGTGACATAAAGTCGAAAGGTGTTCGTGTGCCAGTAGACGCCACCTCAGGGCTCTGTGGGAGTCACGAGTAAAACAACGCCTCTATGATTTTTATTTTTTGTTTTGCAGAAATGCACACTTACATGCACACATATTACACACACATGTTGCTGCTGCTATTTTTGCTTTCATCTCCTGCTTAGAAGTGCAAAAAAAAAAAAAAAGAAAATTACGAAACAGCCCCACTGGTAGTCCATAAGTCGTCTTCTGCTTTAAAACTTTTGAGTCTCTCAGTGGTCCACAGGAGAAGTCCGACGCTGCGTCACGAGTTTCTACACACGGTCTTAACAGCCTTAACAGCCTCCTGATGCATGTGAATTAGCGTTGAAAGATAAGACAGGCTCGTTTCTGTAGTGTGTGTGTGGAACATGTCGGCATACGTCACGGTTTTCTGGTCCTAATTTAATTTGGTTTTTTTGTTTCCTCTCAAAGGATAATCTACGTTTTCCACTCTCAGGCTGCATGCGCTTAGAGGGCTAAAAGGAGATGCTACTGAATGTAAAAGCAATTTCAGAATAACTAAATGTGTATAAAAAAAGAACAAAACTTCATGTACCTGACCAAAATGTTTTCTCGCTTTTCTTTTTTTTCTTCTTCTTTTTGGATGACATGGAGGCGAAGTTTAATTCCCTTATTTTGCCAAAAAAAAAAGAGAAAAAAAAGAAGAGATTCATGTAACAACGTCTTTGTAACGACAAGTATTCATGTTCATAAAATCAGTTTGTTGCTTCTTAAGACAGCCTGGCTCCCTTTTTTTGTGTCTATTTTCTGTTTTTATTCATTAGAAAATGTGTGTAATTAATCTCGATTTAAAAATGAAATCAAGCTCTGCTGTAGTGAGTTTTTTAAGCAGCAGGTGGCGTGTGGTGTTCAGTTTTGTCTGACCTCCTGCACAAGGTTACTTTTGGATGCATATTGCATAACAACATACATACTGCATAAGCGTACAGCACAAAGATAGAAACCCTTGAGAGCCACCAGAATGACGAGAATAGGCCTTTTAAATTATTTACTGGAATTTTAGATTCAGAAAAAATCCAATCTACAACATGGTTTTTAATAATTCGCTAAATGTGTAGGGTTTTTTTTCTTGGGTTAGATTTACTGAAATGACGAACGGAGGTTTTACTGAACAGCCAGACTGATTAAAAACACCGACCTCAGACATGTTATGTCTAGAAATCACTTATCTATCCAAATGTAGCTTATCAACCTATCAAGAAATTAAGAATCAATAATGCCCAAATTATCTATGAGGTTACAGTGACCTTTGATTTCTGTTGTTTTTTTTAAAAATGTAGCCTCCTACAGTCGTAATCAAGGTTTTCGGAGAAAGAAATGTTCATTCTGCTGAAGTGCTGCGGAGAAATGTGTTATTATGCTCATGTTTCAATACAAGGCAGTGGGGGATTTTTTTTTAACAATAAATAGGACAGGATAGACTCTTGGAAGCACCAAATATTTTTACTCCACAGACAGACTGGAAGCGTTGCTGCCTTCAGGGGCTGTGGGAAATTTTTGCCAGTTGGTTGAGTCCACCTCAGATAACCCTAATGTGCAAACAAATGTGATGAATGGTTATAGCAGCGGCAAAAAAAGCAACGAAAAAGAAAGAAAATGACTTAAAATTAAATAAGAAAATGGAAAAGCTACTTGTTTTGCATTGCAGTACTTTAGACCACATGTGTAAAATGTGGAAGACTAGATTTGACTCAATTAGATTAAACTTTATTGTCATTGCAGAGTCCAAGTATTAAGACAATGAAATTATCCAACTCAAAAAGGCTTTGCTAAATAGTAAAGAAGGAAAAGATCCAAGGTAGAGTGGGTTTAGTTGTAGACATTTGAGGTAATAAGAACTTGGAAGAATTTATTTTTCAGTGTGTTGAAGGGTTCAGTATTCAGGTTTATTTAATGTGTTTTCTGTGGTGTTATCTGTATGTCAGAGCTACTCCTGTGCCGCTCCAGCACGGTAGCACTTCACGTCAAGCGGCATGCTGTATGATTGGAATGCATTTGCCGCACCATCGGCATAGAAAGAGAAGTTGGCTGACATCAAGAAATTCTACCTGCCAGATGCTACAACAAAGCAGGCCATGAGCACCAGACTGGTAGAAGCAGGGGTCTACCAACAATGCAACTTAATGTGCAGGTCCTCAGTGGGACTTCAAGTTCCCACTAACCTGACATAGTGGTGGTTGACAAAATGCAGAAGATGGCAGTGGTGGTCGATGTGGCAACTATGGCCAACAGCAACATCAGGAGATCTT